CTGTGATGATTCTTACAGCTCAGCTTTGCCTCTCTCAAGATAGGTCTTGAAATACATTGCCTAAAATGAGACAGGGTTCTCAAGGTGAAGAAAAGAATGTCTCTCTGTGTGCTGGGATGACAGACACTTGGTAGTAACTTCAGCTTTCAGAAGCTGTTATGATACGAATTTTGTCACGTTGAGGCTGACAGGAAACCTGGAGAGGGGCTTTGGACAAGAGCCTGTAGGGACAGGCCAAGGGGAATGGCTTGAACCTGCCAGAGGGGAGACTGAGATGAGCTCTGAGGCAGAAGCTCTTCCCTGGGAGGGTGCTGAGGCGCTGGCACAGGGTGCCCAGAGGAGCTGTGGCTGCCCCATCCCTGGCAGTGTTCAAGGGCAGGTTGGACACAGGGGCTTGGAGCAACCTGCTCTAGTGGAAGGTGTCCCTGCCCGTGGCAGGGGGGTTGGGACTGGAGGAGCTTTAAGGTCCCTTCCAATCCACATCATTCCATGGTGATTCTGTGATTCTATAATTGAATAGATTGAAACCTTGAGAGATTCATATTGAGGGTATCAGCAACAGCCCTTCCTCCAGCTCCCAGCCTTCCTTGATCCCTGTGCAAAGGCACACTGTTTGTCCATCCTTCTCAGAAGTGCCATCACTTTCCTGCACACATTCTGATCTTCATGTGTCCCTTCTCAACCCTGCATTTTCTCTGCAGAGACTGAAGGTTTCTCTGTTTCTGATCCAGCTCAGCAGACAGCTCAGCTCTGAACCCAGCTGAGAGCTCACACATCTCTTTTCCTTGCAGTGGTGACATTCCAGCAGCGGTGTGTGTTCCCTGTCCGCTTTGGTGGAGCGATGATAGAGCACTGGTGGAGCTCTGCCCTTGCTTTTAAAATCTACATGAGAAAAAGCACACAGAAAAAGGTACTTATGAAAAGTTGTTTTTACTTTGTGTGTCGAAGAGCAAAGAATTCTCTGTGTTTCTATTTCCTCCAAATGCTTACACAGGCGGCAGTGGCTTTTCTAAGTCTTCTGCAAAGCTTCACTTGTAATTGCTGCCAACTCAGAGGCAAAACAAAGTGATGTGGCTTGACTGAGCCACTTCTTAATCAAGCACTGCCAGGTATTATGAAGTGAAATGACATTATGTGCAGATCCTACAAGTTGGACTAATTGCTGTTCAGTCTTGTCACACAACTAAATGATTTTCTGAGTTTGAGACAGGCAAAAAGAAATTGTCCTTCCCTCATCTTTATCCTTCGTCTTTTAGCCTTCCAGTACCTAAAAGGGCTGGAAGAATGCTGGAGAGGGGCTTTGGACAAGGGATGTAGGGACAGGCCAAGGGGAATGGCTTGAACCTGCCAGAGGGGACATTGAGATGAGCTCTGAGGCAGAAGCTCTTCCCTGTGAGGGTGCTGAGGCGCTGGCACAGGGTGCCCAGAGAAGCTGTGGCTGCCCCATCCCTGGCAGTGTTCAAGGCCAGGTTGGACCCAGGGACTGGTCCCATCCAATCGAAACAGTTCCATGATTCCATGATTTAAAACTGATCTCCTGCTGTTCAAGCATATTGGATCAATTACAGTCATTAGTCTTCAGTGTGACTGCAGCTCTTTCAGCAATATAGAATGATGATATAGAATCATATGATACAGGATAATGTGGATGCAGCTGATATCATTGCTCTGCCCAGAGTCAGTACCATGAGATGTGATTACCTGTGTAGCTTATCCATTTGGGGGGAAAAAGAAATATCTTTCTTTTCTCTAAAAATATTTACTTGATCATCTGCATGTGATGAAGACAGTGAGAGGTGTTAGCTCAGCTCCTGTTCTGTTGTAACCAACACCAAAGATATCTGCCCATCTGTTCTAACAGAGCTTTCCTTTTAATGGGTGAATAAATCACGTCGAAGTATGGATATCTGGCTCAGTATTAGGATTTGGGGTGTTCATGTTTGCATTAGTCTGGAACTGTTTGCAGTAGGTAATGGAAGAATTTTCCTTCCTGTTGTCCTGGTGAGGCTTGAAAATGGAACTAAGGGAAACTTCCTACAAGTCCCTGTTGGAACAACTAACGTTAAGGGAGATGGGAGGGTGGGTGGCAGAGCATGGCTTCCCAGAGGACTTTCCTTTCACAATATCCCCTTAGTTCTCTAAACCTGACAGAAATCTTACAAAGTGGATTGATTCTTTTTCTGCCCTCAGCCAGTGGCCATTGGCTCAGCAGCACTTCAGTTACACCAGGTTGTTCAGTCAGAGCTGCTCTCTGTCAGTTGTGAAATACCTGTGAACAAAGAAGGAGATCAGACCCCAGCTGGAGCACTAAAGGTATGTGTTCTACCAGGTAAAGTTGGAGTTAAACAACCAATTTTGGCTGCATATTCTCTTGTCTTTTAATTCTCCTCCCCTTTTTTTTCTCTGTTTTAATTTGGAGGTCTCAGGTATGAATGTTTGTAAGGTCAATACAAGATAACATGAACCTTCTATTTTCCTTAGGGTTTTGGAAAGGTATTTTGTACCTTCTGCATGTCTAATGATGTTGTTGTGTGATGTTCCCCTGGCTGCAGTGCGAAACAAGGGTCAATATCTAAGGGCTTGGATACAGAAACCACTCTTCAAGCAGATTTTGAGCAGCACATCCTCAGGGCTGGGAGCTTTGGCTCCTGCTCCACATGTGACATGAGCTGGGTCTCTCCTGGTGCAGAGGCCTGATGGTCCCTGTCATTGATACCACCTTGTCACTTCAGGAGTAACCTTCTCCAGCCCTAGTTTCTACTGGCATGCTCCATTTCTGATTGAGAAGGATTAACAGTCCTGCAGAGCACATCTGAGAGGTGCTGGTTCTAAGGACAAACAGCTCTCTAGGTTGGAACTGAGGGGTTAAGAGAGTATTAGGGCCTGTGAAACTTCTTCCAGAGAAGCCATTCAGCAGAGCTGCCACTCGAGGAGCCACAGAAGGATGAAACATGCAATGTAGTGGTTGGGTGTGGGAGGAGTTAAGTGAAGACAGGGAGAAGAAACGTGTGTTGTGCGGGAGAGGATGGAATGGAACAGGAAGTGAGAGGAGAAAAGTGGAAGGAGATGGTGTGGGGAACTAATGAAATGAAGTTCAGTGCAATAACTTCATACAGAAGGGGAAGGTAATACTTAAAGAGGATAAGGGATGTCAGCTACTGGGCCCACTTGGCATTTCTGACCGGTGGCTTTGAACTCATCTTTGGACATGTTCTTCATACCCACTAGGAGTAGGTACTGTTTGGAATCTTTTTCCCCAGTATCTCCTCTCATCCCTCCTAAGTCATTGTAGACCTGTTGGAGCGAGGCCAGAGGAGGCCCCGGAGCTGCTGCGAGGGCTGGAGCAGCTCTGCTCTGGAGCCAGGCTGAGAGAGCTGGGCTGGGGCAGCTGGAGAAGAGAAGGCTCCTCAAGGGGACACCTTAGAGCAGCTCCAGGGCCTAAAGGGGCTCCAGGAAACCTGGAGAGGGGCTTTGGACAAGGGATGTAGGGACAGGCCAAGGGGAATGGCTTGAACCTGCCAGAGGGGAGATGAGATGAGCTCTGAGGCAGAAGCTCTTCCCTGTGAGGTTACTCCCCAGCAGTAACTTGTGCCCATCACCCCTCAGCTTTCCCATGGGACTCCTTGTCCAAAGGGAGTCTCCGTCTCCTCTGCAGCCCCCCTTTAACTCCTGGCACGTGGGATCAGGTCTCCCTAAGCCTGCTCTTCTCCAGCTGAACAGTCCCAGCTCTCTCAGCCTTTCCTCACACACTGCCCAGTCCTTAGATCATCTTTGTGGCCCTTTCTGGACCCCCTCTGGCTTGTTCACACCTTTTTTGTCACAGTACTCTCCACCTTGGCTAGGTAGGTGTTCGTTTTTCAGTCAGCTTTGTGACTGCTTTTCATTTTTGCCTTTAATCAGCTGTAACTGTGGTTTTGAACTTCAGTTACAGCTTTATTTGATATAACCCTATGTAGTCTGTTTGCAGTGGCAGCTGTAGCTTTGTAACCAGCACAGGCTGAAGCTGAGCCTCTGGGTGATGATCTAACCAGTTCTTGAGCACAACATGCGATACCTGTTCCTGACTTTGTGTTTCTTGACAATGCAGGTGTCCTTAGAGCTCGCAGCAAACAACAAAGACTTCACCCACACCACTGCCCGGTCACCTATGGCTGTGCAACGAGCCCCAGTGCATGCGGTGAGAAGTCCTGGGCTGGATTTCCAGGAGCCCACCAGGAGCAGTGTAAGTCCAGGAAGCTTCCACTGCTTGAAACTTAACCACGTTGACTCACAGAAGCCAGGAGCAGCCTCCGTGGACATGGTGCAGCCACCACAGCTGCTGACACAATTAGCCGCGGCTGAAGAAGATGGGTTATTGCTGCATGTGCTGTTGATGGTGCCTGAGGGAAAGGATTTTGGTTCTGAAGACTGTGGGCTCCCCAGTTCTTGTAATGTGTATTTAAACTGCAAGCTGCTCAGCACTGAGGAGGCAACAAGATCTGCTGTTGTCTGGGGCACAACTCAACCTGCCTTCAATTTTTCTCAGGCAAGTGACATGTTTTCTGTTTAACACTGATTGGAGGGAGTTATTTCACACTTAGAAACATGATTCAAAGAGAAGGTACTTTTATATATGCAGGAACTTTCTTCTTGGCTCTATCCAGTGTATTAAAACTATTTTCAGTATTGTTTTGGCTGGATGGCATGGTGTGAAATGCAGCTATTGAGTCATCTAAATAGTAGATAAGTCTTTTGAAGTATGAAAGAGAATTAATCAAGTTTAGGTTAAAACTGAAAACAAGTAGACTTTTCTGCCATTTTGTCTAGAAAACATATTGTGGATGACATCCTAATAGAACTTTTTGTTTCTTCCATTGAATCATACAGTCACCGACTGGTTTGGGCTGAAGGGACTTTAGAGCTCCTCCAGCTTCAACCCCTGCCCCGGGCAGGGACACCTTCCACTAGAGCAGGTTGCTCCAAGCCCCTGTGTCCAA